GATCAGGTTATTTTTTGCGTCTTCTGTGCCAAGAGCTCAACATGTTGGGATTAAAAGGTGTTGTCTTTTCCAGGTGCTACAGTGACCAGAGGCCAAACGATGAGCTGCCGAGGTTCCTTTGTGCCATCAGCCCTACAGAATTACTGCCAGCTTCTACTGTCGGCACGTCCGTCGTTACTTTTAGGCTTGAAACGGCCTCGGATGTTTGGTTCCACTGCTCTGAAGGCTGCACATCATCACTAAAGGTACGTATGTTGATTGATCAATGACCGCTGCTGGTTCTGATCTATGATGACGTTTTTAACAATGTAGACTGTTGGATGAATTTTGCGGATATGGGACTGAGATCAGGTTATTTTTTGCGTCTTCTGTGCCAAGAGCTCAACATGTTGGGATTAAAAGGTGTCGTGTTTTCCAGGTGCTACAGTGATCAGAGGCCAAATGGACTGCTGTGAGAAAGGACCAACGTGGAGATGTGAAGATCAAATGTTTCAAAAAGATTTTTAAATGTTTTATTCAAATAAAAGAGAAAAAAAAAACAACTTTGCTGCTTATTATTCAACTCCTTTTACAGTAAAATGAAACTTGTATAGCGATAACTTCCTACTTCCAGAGACTCTACTTCCTCAGACGGCTGAGGCGAGCTGGTCTGGGAAGCTCAGTCCTCACCTCCTTCTACAGGTGTGCAGTGGAGAGCATCCTGTGCTCGAGCATCAATGTGTGGCATGGAGGCTGCACAGCTGCAGAAAGAAAAGCTTTGCAGAGAGTGGTGAAGGCTGCACAGAAATCTGTTGGAATCAGTCTCCCCACCATCACAGACATCTACACCTCCAGATGCAGGAAGAGGGCCACCTGCATCATGAAGGACCCCACCCACCCAGCACACACACTTTTTGCCCCACTCCCCTCAGGAAGGAGGTTAAGGAGCATTAAGTGTAGAACCACTAGACTGAGGAACAGCTTCTACCCTGAGGCTGTTAGACTCATGAATCTCTAACTAGAATAATCACTGTGAAAAACCATATCATGTTGCTGCTGATCTGTTTCATGTTGCTGCTGATCTGTTTCATGTTGCTGCTGATCTGTTTCATGTTGATGCGTGCTCATCTGCTCACACAGGCATGCTCATGTTCGTGCTGCTGTTCAAAATAATGTTTTTATGCGATTAGAGCTTAGTGTATCTTAGTTCGTATCTTAGATGTTATTACTGTTTTTCTTTTACATTTTATTCGTGGATGTAACTGGGACCCTGTGAACATAATTTCATTCCACCACATGCACCACATGGGGTGCGAATAACAAATAAAGAATCTTGAATTCTTGAATATGAATTTTTCTTTTGGCTGCTCCCTTCTTCGGGGGTCGCCACAGAGAACTAAGTCGCATCAAGACGTGGCAATTGTTTGTACACCGGATGCCCTTCCTGACGTAACCACAGATCACCGAGCTACCACAGCTCTCTGTGTGGAGCAGAGAGCTGCTGTCTAGGACACCTGGAGGAACAGATGGTGGGGGTTAAGGGCCTTGATCAAGGGCCTAGAGTGAGGTAAATGAGGGTGGAGGCAGGTGTGGGTGCTTCAGCTTTCCCACCCACATTTTGATATCGGTACGGGGAGTTGAACTGGCAACCTTCCGATTACAGTCTCACCCTTCTCTAACCTCTGTTCCACCACTCCCCTAAAGCCTTAAAATATATATAAATAGTAAAATAAATATGCGCTCCTACTTTGTGATTTTTCACCTATCATGGGTGTGGAACGTATAACCCGTGCGATAAGTTGAATTATGAGTTGTTTCAGGACAGAAACATTCACATACAGACAAAAGCCAATTAGTAAAAGGATCATCATATCTCAATGACTTCAGATTCATAGACAGGCAACAAATATTCGCATTTTGTGCAGGTCTTGTGAAATTTCCCGACTTGTAAAAGTCGCTGACTGATTTCAACAGCACAGATGTTCAGTAAAAAAGTAGAAGTGTAAGTCTCAGTGAGCGTGACAGGAAACACCCTCTGAAGCTTCAAAAGGAAGAGTAGATCTAAGAGTGGGGACGCTTCCAAAAGAAAAGAAATCCTTTCTGACTGCGAAGACACATGAAAACAAACAGCAAGCAGTTAGTAGAAAATGAAACAGGCCTGATGACAGAATAAAAAACATATGGATGCATTTCTTTGTACCATTCATTAATAATGATAATAACTTGTAATCAGGAAGTTTTTCATGAATTCCTAATTGTTTTGTTGTGTTTTTCCATCAACAGGGGCGTCCTTTATGCTTGAAGCTACAACAGATGGTGGGATGAGAAGGGGACATGCGTTGACCTTGGAGTTTATCTGAAATGACTTTGTGTGGTTTCCTCAGTGTCTTTTTCATGATCTGCACTATTCATCTGATCAACCTGCATTTCCTCTTGTGTCCACATCCTGAGAGGTTGGCAACAGTCTAATAAACCTACTTTTTAATAATAATGTTTGCAGCGTTGGTCAGAAGAACATGAAGCTGCTTGGAGATAGTCTTGGAACTCTTTAATCCTTCTGGTCTCCTCAGACTTCTCTTTACTTTCTCTGCTCCATGTTCAGTGCAGTCACGCAACCATAGCGCCCAGTGGCTGTTTGTTCCCTTTACATGTGCTCATCTGATGGAAAGCTTTGAAGCTCATCTCGGGGTGTCTATGAGCAGGACACCCAATTCCAAATTGCTCCCCGGGCACTTACATAGCTGCCCATTGCTCCACCTGAGTGTATCCTCATGATGCTGTCGATCATGGTGCACTAAGATTCATAACTGGTTGTGATTATCGTACCCATTACTGCACCCTGTATTCACTGGTTAACTGGTCATCATTAACTTCACTCAGACTCTCTCACTGGTACATTTTCATCTTTAAATCACTTCTTGGTCTGCTGCCTTCATACATCTCCTCCTACATGTCTCTGCGTGAGTGCAGCTACAGCTCTCAGGACATTATTACCTGCAGTGTTCCCTCAATGAGGACTGAACTAGGCAAAAGGGCCTTCTCCTACTCCGCTCCTGTTTCCTGGAATATCTTACAAAAAGATCTGAAGCTCTCGACCTTGACCTCTCTAAGTGGCTTTAAGATTCTGTTGGACTCCTGGCAGGGACCAACGCTGACATGTTCCTGTTTTTAGTTTTCTACATTCGCCTTATAATCTAGCTGTTTTTGTTACTGTTTTTGCCATCTTATTTGTAAAAAAAGTGTATGCCTTTTTATAACTGTCTATTGTTGTTGCTGTTGTCTATTGTTGTCATCACTCTTTGTTAAAATCTAGCCTCTCTTGTAAAAGAGTCCTCAAGGCTCCATAGGATTAACCTGAATAAATAAAGGTTGATTGAATCCCAGGTGCGCTGGGTCAAAAGCAGAGAACCAATTTTGTCTTTGTACGGGAACAGACAATGATGACAACGCAGAGCACTTTATTATTTATTATTATTATTATGTATTTGTAAAATACACAACAAATCTTTTTTTTTTCATAAGTTTGTGCACACTGCCACATATTAAAGACAGTCAGATTTATATTAGACAATTGTTTTCATTGAAACACTTTTCGAAAGAAACGAAGCGTTGTTTCAGATGACCCAACAGATTTATCTGCATCTCATCCCAGTTTGGACTGACAGGTCCTCCTCCGTTGCCTTGGAGACAGAATGGCTCAGAGTGAGGCCTAAATATGAGGGCTGCCCATCATCCGAGCATGAATGATGCAGACCAGAACATCTGATCATCCTGACCTGACCACACTCATACATCCTCACCACACATTTCATATAAACACCAATCAAAACCCACAGAGGCCTCTTCAAAGTCAAACCTCTCCCCGCAGGAAAGGTGCAGGTACCTGAATCGTTCCTGGCCCGCCGTGTCCCAGAGCTGCAGCTTGATCTTCACCCCCGGCTCGATGCCGAGCGAGCGGGCGTAGAAATCCACGCCGACCGTGGGGTCCGCCACGTCGCTGTAAATCCCGTCCGTGAAGCGTTTCAACAGCGACGACTTCCCCACCGTGGAGTCCCCGAGCAGGATGATTCGGAACTGGTATTGCCACAAAGCATCCATGGCATGACGAGGCGATGAAGCGCGTGTGAACAAAGCCCTGCGCGCGCACGGCGTGTTTACCCGGCTGCTCGGGAAGAGACCGCAGCGGTCATGTGACAGCTGTACCTCTGCTCCACTAGCTGCAAGAACAGCCAGAAACACACATTTCAGTATAACTCCAGCTGTAGCTTCACTGCATGAAGCGTCGCCATCACTTGTTGCCTCGCTTGTGTTTTCAAACCGAACTGCCTCAAATCGGCGGTGCTGCTGTCCGTGGTTCTGAAAGGAGGCCACGGAGAATCCATTTTATTAGCTCATTTGTAACGTTTTTCTCCCATTGAACAAATTTTACAAAAAAATATTGTCCTCCCCTAAAAGAGAAGTAAAGTTAACGACGTGTAATATCAAGCACTGTTAGTTTTTATGTAAGTGGTGACAAGCGTCACTAAACAGCTTAACAAACCTAAAGAAAACTACATTTCCCATCATGCAAGCTGTTACGTAAGCTGCGTGGTCGAGTCAGCGAGAGAAGGCAAAGTAAAACAAAAACTATTGAGGTAGTGTTATTGACACGTAAAAGTATCAGTTTCTTCTATGACATCTGAAAGTGTTGGCAAACATCACAAAACAGCTTAAACAGGAAAAAAAAAAACTACATTTCCCTACATGCAAACATGATCACGTGAGCTGCGCGGCCCAATCAGCGGGAGAACGACCAGCGTATAAAAACAACCAGCGCGCCGCGGTTCTTTCTTTTCACTGCACCTCTTTGGTAGAAGCTGATTGTTTGGTCAGTCCTCAGATTTGGTAAGATTGTTTAGTTTCCCCTTCTCTTAGTCATGTAGTTCGTAACTTCTTCAAGTAACTTATTTATTAACCGTAGCGTATTGAGCTCTTGAAAATATAAAATGTCGAGCCACTATCGTTTAAGCTAGCAGGCAATGCTAGCCAAGTTAGCTATAGCACGTGGACTTTGCGCTGTTTTGAGTATCGCAGAAACATTGTTACATACACACACACAAGTCTGGATTAATTACTTGAACATTTAGAAAGTTGTGTAAAAAAGGTTGCAGTCTTGGTTTAATATTGAAGATGGTTTTATTTAGAGTTATGAAGCGTGGACCATGTGGTACGGCCTTGATCTTTCAGATTCATAAATGAGCACAGAGCTACAAAAACACTTATGCTATGTAACTTATCAGCTTGTTCATTTAAATTTATCAATTATTTTTGTAGGACAAATGACCTAAACATGCTAATAAAGTGATTCTCACTTGTTGCAATTAAAAGAAATATGTAATATTAAAATATCGTCTGGTCAGTTCCTTCAGTTTTACATGTTATAAACTGATCGGTTACTGTATTTTATGCTAATCCATGCCTCCCTCTCCTGCAGCTGGCAGCCTTCTACACTTCTTCCAGGATGGGTTTGTGTGCAGGACACAGGTGAGTTTGTAAAGAATAAGGCTGCATCAGGCTCCCATCGAAGCCGTTCATGCTTTGTGTAGCAGTGAGCGGTCAAAAGGAAGCCGAAATGAAGACTTTCACCGACGGTCGCTGTTCAGTTTAAAGTAACTGTTTCAGCAACATTTAGGGAAAGGACATTTGTTTTAGAAGGCATGTGTGTAAATTTGTTAAACTTTTTACCAGTAGTTGGTGCAGGCGTCTCGATGAACCTTATTCTGTATATTGACACTTAAGACGGGCAGTGACAAATGTGTACTGGTCTTAAAATTACAACAGCTGGTCCAAATCTGCATGCCTTAATTTCTGGTGTATTCCAGTAATTAAAAGCCACCTGAGATGATCCAGTTTACAACGTTGAATGAAATTCTGACTGGACCAGATCCCAGAAAGAAGCAAATGCTGTCAAATTAACAAACTCTTGTTTTACAGGTTTTGGACATCACGTTGGGTGTTGAGATGTACCAGGAAAGAACCCTGCAGGTAAATTGGCTGAAAAGTGCAATGGTGGAAGAGTTCTGGCTGTGATGACAAAACTTGCCCTCACTGAGAATCTTGATGGATATGTTTATTCTGAGCCATACCTGTTAAAGAAAAACAACAAACGAGTAGTTTCCAGACTAAAAGTTCTTTTCCTCTCATCCTTTAAGGTGAAACATCTGTCCAGATGACTGGTTTCAACTCTTTGACCTGGATGATGGAGCTTACATCAGGACTTGTTTAAAACAAATGGAAGCAACAATGCTCAAGGTAATTGACCCCACCCCGGTCACCAGTACAGCATGTTATCCTAAGGATCAAAGCTTGTTGTAGCTTCTGGTTCTCCAAGTGCATGCAAGATGATTGGGTGGTCTTTGACTGCTGAGGCCCCTCTGTGCCATCAGCAGCCACTCAGCTGCCCTACAGTTAATTACTGCCAGCTTATTCTACTGTTAACGTGTCCCATCGTTACTTTTAGGCTTGAAACAACCTCGGATGTTTGGTTCCGCTGCTCTGAGGGCTGCACATCACTAAAGGTGCGTATACAGACTAATGACCTCTGCTGGTTCTGATCTATGATGACCTTTATAACAATGTGGACTGTTGGATGAATTTTGCGGATATGGGACTGAGATCAGTTTGTTTCCTTCAATCTTCTGTGCCAAGAGCTCAACACGTTGGGAAATAAAAGGTGTTGTCTTTTCCAGGTGCTACAGTGACCAGAGGCCAAACTGCCGAGGTTCATCTGTGCCATCAGCCCTACAGAATTACTGCCAGCTCTACAGTCAGCACGTCCGTCGTTACTTTTGGGCTTGAAACGGCCTCAGGTGTTGCTCTGAGGGCTACAGATCCATCACTAAAGGTACATATACTGACTAATGACCTCTGCTGGTTCTGATCGATGATGACCTTTCTAACAACGTGGACTGTTGGATGAATTTTGCGGATATGGGACTGAGATCAGGTTATTTTTTGCGTCTTCTGTGCCAAGAGCTCAACATGTTGAGATTAAAAGGTGTGGTCTTTTCTAGGTGCTACAGTGACCAGAGGCCAAACGATGAGCTGCTGAGGTTCCTCTGTGCCATCAGCCCTACAGAATTACTGCCAGCTTCTACAGTCAGCACGTCCATAGTTACTTTTAGGCTTGAAACGGCCTCGGATGTTTGGTTCCACTGCTCTGAAGGCTGCACATCATCACTAAAGGTACGTATGTTGATTGATCAATGACCGCTGCTGGTTCTGATCTATGATGACGTTTTTAACAATGTAGACTGTTGGATGAATTTTGCGGATATGGGACTGAGATCAGGTTATTTTTTGCGTCTTCTGTGCCAAGAGCTCAACATGTTGGGATTAAAAGGTGTCGTGTTTTACAGGTGCTACAGTGATCAGAGGCCAAATGATGGACTGCTGTGAGAATGGACCAACATGGAGATGTGAAGATCAAATGTTTGAAAAGCTTTTTAAATGTTTTATTCAAATAAAAGAGGAAAAAAACCCCAACTTTGCTGCTTATTATTCAACTCCTTTTACAGTAAAATGAAACTTGTATAGCGATAAGGCCAAAAGGGGGCTGAGATAGGAAAGCTGACTAAGGGACTGCAAAGTGGTAGTTCCACTTCCTACCATGTGGTGTCTGAGCAAGAAGCCAAATACCAATTGCTCCTTTGGGAACTAGCTGCCCACGCTTCCACCTGGGTGTAGCTCAAATGCAGAGAATTGTTTTTCTGGCCACCTTCATCCTGGGGGCTCTACTGTACAAATGATTATGGGTACAACTTCCTGTCAGACAAGTAGCAATAAGCATGGTTGAACTGATAGCAGACCAGTTTATTTGAAAGTATTTAGAAAAAAGGCTGGTTGCGTTTAACCATAAAATTAACCATGCTGAGTTCAGGGACCTTGTTTACAGTTGTGCGAATAACTACACCAAATTAAATCAGTTACTGGAACAGACTTAAGTTTCTGAGTGAGTTTCAGGTTCATCGCTTCACTGTCGGAAGCAAAATCAATGAAGTAGCTACAGTGAGGAAATAAGTATTTGAACACCCTTTGACTTTGCACGTTCTCCCATTTAGAAATCATGGGAGGGGTCTGAAATGTTCATCTTAAGTGCATGTCCACTGACATTATAAGAAAAATCCAGAAATCACAATGTATGATTTTTTTAAATTTGTGTGTCACTGCTACAAATAAGTATTTGAACACCTGTGAAAATCAATGTTAATATTTGGTACAGTAGTCTCTGTTTGCAGTTCCAGAGGTCAAAGGTTTCCTGTAGTTTTTTACCAGGTTCACTGCAGCAGAGATTTTGGTCCATTCCTCCACAGATCTTCTCTAGATCAGCCAGGTTTCAGGGCTGTCACTGAGAAACAGGGAGTTTGAGCTCACTCCAAATATTTTCGATAGGGTTTAGGTCTGGAGACTGGCTAGGCCACTCCAGAACCTCGATATGCTTCTTACGGAGCCACTCCTTGGTTCTCCTGGCTGTGTGCTTCGGGTCATTGTCATGTTGGAAGACCCAGCCATGACTTATCTTCAATGCTCTAACGGAGGCGAGTGGAATTAAGACCAAAAAGTTCTATTTTGGTCTCATCTGACCACAGAACTTTCTCCCATGACTCCTCTGGATCATCCAAATGGTCATGGTCAAACTTAAGACGGACGTGTGCTGATTTAAGCAGGGGAACCTTCCGTGCCATGCATGATTTTAAACTATGACGTCTTAGTGTATTACCCACAGTAACCTTGGAAACAGTGGTGCCAGCTCTCTTCAGGTCATTGACCAGCTCCTCCGTGTAGTTCTGGGCTGATTCCTCACCTTTCTTAGGATCATTGAAACGCCACGAGGTGAGATCTTGCATGGAGCCCCAGTCCGATGGAGATCGACAATCATGTTTAGCTTCTTCCATTTTCTAATAATTGCTCCAACAGTTGATCTTTTTGCTGCTTGGCAATTGCCCTGTAGCCCTTTCCAGCCTTGTGGAGGTCTACAGTTTTGTCTCTGGTGTCTTTGGACAGCTCTTTGGTCTTGGCCATGTTAGTAGTTGGAGTCTTACTGATTGTGTGGGGTGGACAGGTGTCTTTATGCAGCTACCGACCTCAAACAGGTGCTTCTAATTTAGAATAATCAGTGGAGTGGAGGTGGACGTTATAGATGAGGACTAACAGGTCTTTGAGGGCCAGAACTGTTGCTGATTGGCAGCTGTTCAAATACTTATTTGCAGCAGTAACACACAAATGAATTATTAAAAAAATCTTACATTGTGATTTCCGGATTTTTCTTTTAGATTATGTCTCTCACAGTGGACATGCACCTAAGATGAAAAATTCAGACCCCTCCATGATTTCTAAGTGGGAGAACTTGCAAAGTGGCAGGGTGTTCAAATACTTATTTTCCTCACTGTAAATATGCTAAATGTAATCTGCAGCCACTTCAGCTCGTCCTCAGGCCGTGGTACGATTTTATATTGCCCTGTGTGAAATGACAGGTGTTCCTACATGTTAAAATTAAATCTTCAACGCTTGAAGGAACTACATTAGCTCGTACTGTTCGCGCATAAATAGTTCATATGTTAGATGATGTTGCTGTTTATCTTTTAAATTTTGTTGGATGTAACTGGGACCATGTGGACATAATTTCGCTCCACCACATGAGGTGCGAATGACAAACTGACTGAATGCCGGTTCTGGTCCGCACCGGAAGTCATACCCATAATTCATGCAAGGCACCATGGGGGCTAAGAATAAGCTGGATCGTAACACAATGATGACAACATGCAGCACTAAAGGTTACACAGGTCTATTACATATGCATATCTGGAGGTGTTCCAGTGTCATTATAAAGCTGCTGCCGGTCTTCAGTCCAAATTATAAAAAGTAGCACTTTTCTGTCAAATCAAGCAGAATCTGTAACTGTAGGAAACTTCAGTTCTGATATTTCAGAGTCGGGGGTGCTGCTGCCGCTCCGATCGCTGTACATGTCTCTGTAAATAAAAGGGAAACTAGGTTAGCTGTTGTGATGGGTTCAACTGTTATATGACTTCATAACATTAAAAAGGTTTAGACTAAATATTAATTCATATTCCATATAAGCCTATAAACATTTTTTTTAATTGTTCACTTGTTTTTCATGTTGCATTAATGTTTGTATAATTTTATTTAAGAAAACTAATCCATGCACCAGTAATCTAGTATCAGTAGCTAATAAGCTTTTTCTGGGGTTGACCAGTAGTACCACATCCACCAGTAGGGGGTGCTCTCATTCCATTAAACAGATGAAGCAACTTAAAATCACTGGTTCCTTCTCCCCCATCTACAGGGGTGTAACACTTTGTGTGTGTGTCTGTAGTCGATCATCAGGTTCGTTAGTTTACCGTGGAGACAGACGGCAGCCCTTCTGCAAGAAGCTCTGGAGCTTCCCTGCAGCAGCTAGGAGCAGGCCAAGATACGGAGGTGACGGCTTAATGGGACGAGACGTGAACTCTGGGTGGTACTGCACGCCAACAAAGTACGGGTGATCTGAAAAGAACAATTATTTTAGCTTGATTATCTTGAAGCTTTTATCTGAGAACTGTTAAACTACAGGCTTGTCTTGTTGCCAGATGCATTTTATTCTGGAGCAGGTTCCAGCCTTATGATAAAACAACTGAACCTGCAGCCCCAAATGTCCAGGGGGGTACACCAAGAAGCAGGACTTCATCCCTTTGGTCTGAGTTGGGAAAAATAAAATTCCACTAAGGCAGTTCTCAAGTTTCTGTAACTCAGACGTTCTGCTTCTTGTTCACATGAAAGAGGTGTTGCACGATTCAACTCTTTCAAACAATCTAAAAACACTGAGCTCACCCAGACAAGTCGTCCAGTAAGAACAGCAGGTTGTAAACTATTCATGGGACGTGAATATGATCCCAACAGAAACAAGAACATTTGTTTGGAGAAAAATTAAAGAATCAGAACAAAAGTTTTTCAAACTCCAACTCTGTCCCATAATGTACATGTCACTTCATGTATTAAATATTCTAATGTACATGTACATATAAAACAAATAACAGAATACTGTGAAAAGTTCAACCCCCCAGTCATTTCAGAAAGTAAAACTCATTACATAGGGGACTGGTGGTGCAGAGGCTAGAGGAGATGGGCCTGTGATCGGAAGATCGCCGGTTCAAGCCCGACAACATCAAAATGTGGGTGGAAAAGGTGAAGCACCCACACCTGCCTCCACCCTCATTCGCCCCACCCTGGGCCCATGAGCAAGGCCCTTAACCCCCATCTGCTCCCTAAACAGGTCTCTCTTGAGAATGAGTTCTTGTGACTCATTGAGACTACCTGGATAAATAAAGGCTAAATGAAAAAGAAATAAAATAGATTCATTAAACTCAGAGTGAAATAGTTCCTTTATTTCTTGTCATTTTGATGAGTGTGGTATACAGATAATAAAAAAACAAAATTCAGTGTCTCAGAAAATTGGAATATTGTGAAGAGTCCAATACTGGACCACTCATGTCTCACCCTGATCAGCTGATGAACTCCTGGACATGAGCTACAAATGTGGCGTTCCTCGTCGAGCTACTCCTGAACCAGAGACATCAGAAGCGTCTTACCTGCTGAGGAAACAAAGAACTGGACTGTTGTCCAATGTCCTCTTTTCAGATGAAAGTACATTTTAATGTCATTTGTAAATCAAGATGTCAGAGTCTGGAGGAAGAGTGGAGAGGAACAGAATCCATGTTGCTTGGAGTTCAGAGTGAAGGTTCCACAGACAGTGATGGTTTGGGTCCATGTCCTCTGCTGGTGTGGGTCCACTGGGTTTTCTGAAGTCCACATCAACACAGCATCTAGCAGGACATTTTAGAGACTCCAGGCTTCCTTCTGCTGACGAGCTTCACGGAGATGCTGGTTTAATTATTCAGCAGGTCTCGACTCCGGCCCACACTGTCCAAGGAACCAACAGCTGGCTGTGGAATACTCTCATTTTCTGAGACACTGAGTTTTTTTCTTTCCATTATTACGTACTCATCTGTCTCTTATCGTGTATTAATCCAGCTGAAGGACATCTATACCTCTCAGATACAACAATAATAAAAAATAGAAAAAAGGCCATGACTTTCAAACAAGCAGCTGCACGTGCACGGCACTGGGGTTGCAGTGAGGCTGCAACAGAAAACACCTGTTTTCCCACATTTTAAAGCTTGAGCCCAGTCAGACACTGACCAACATCTCCGGTCTCTTACCGTCCAGTTCGATGACCTCCATCCTCTCTCCATCCACATCCTGACCTACAAACCGAAACCCTTTGTCTTCTAAGTGGCTCTTCAGATCTGGATTGACCTTGAAACCAAACACAAAAAATTAATTTACAGTATTTTGTCTTGCGGGATATTCAGCCAGCAGGTCGGCTTTACCTCAAAGCGATGTCTGTGTCTCTCGTCCACGAAGTCTGCGTCCCCATAAAGTTTTCCTACAACACACAAACAGCTATGAACACGGCATGATGAGAAGGGCTGCTGCTGGACAGTGCTCGGGTGCTTCTCTTACGCAGAACGCTGTTGCAGGTCTTAAAAATGGTTCGTCTCTTCCCGAGCCTCATTGTGCCGCCCATCTGCCCCGGGTTGTGTTCTGGCATGTCGATCACCTGGGGGTGGGAAACCAACAAGAATAAAATGCACCCTTTGGCTTACTGGGCTAAGATTAGTGCTGCAGCTGAGAAAACCCACCACAGGATGAAGTGATTCTGGGTCAAATTCAGTCGAGTTGGCATCTATGTGAAAAACAGGAAGACATCAGTTACATCAGGATTATCTTATGAAGTATGGATCCCTTCAACAAAATATGATTATTATTTACACACACGTCTGTACTATTTTATTAAAGAAAGTTACATCCACATTGTCCATATTTGCATCATCCTGTTTTTAAACTCACTGCTATGACTAAAATAATGAAATGAATGTGACACAATTTATTACAAACGACTTTAGGGGAGCACTTGACTTTTATTTTGTTAATTTTTTATTTAGTTTTATTTGTAACATAACTTACCATTGTACTAAATAATGGTGACACTGAACTGCATGTTGAAAATTAAAAATATTAGCTTTACCAAATGAACAGGTGACATTTTAATAACCACCAACAGTGAATTTAGGGGCTTTTTACCGTTTTCTGATTTAGTGATAGACCTGCTCATTACAAAAAATGACCTGGCATCATGCAGCCTTCACAACACTAAATTACTGTCAAACAATAGTAACAAACAACAACAAAAGTCAGTTTTGTCAACCTGCATGTAATTATTAAAACTAAATAATTGACAGGTTCCTTCCTACCTTGGTGCCACAGTTTCTACACTTAATAACTTTTATTCTCCTTTCCTTCACAGTGCACTTGGAATAACATCCATCTCCTCCTCCTGCTGTTTTCCTGTCCACTGTTCCTCCCCATCACTGATGTGACCAATTTTACTTTCCAGAAACCTTGTGTTACTTGGCTTCTTCCTCCTTCAAGGTGCTCTCTATAACTCCATCAGCTGGACTTTTCTAATCTTAGGGCAAAATCTTGGTGTGGCAGACAGCCACATTGTTCAAACGTTGACGTTGCGCTAAACTAGCGGCGCGCAATACAGATGCGCTAAGCTAAGATGCTACAAAACGTAGCGCTACGCTTCTCTCATGCATTCTAATATTGCACCCCACCCCCCCGAACAACAGCTGGCACTAATGTAGCGCTAAGCTAGTGGTATGTAGGTCCAGTCAATGGTAAATTATGCCTCTGACACCCCAACCTCACCAAAAAAAACATTTGGATCTAGATAATTCATACCGTATTTTCCTCCGTAAACATTGCTCCGCCCTATACGTCGCATCAGTCCAAATATGTCTAATAAAGTGGAAAAATCCATAAATATGTTGCATCTATTACTCGTCACCGCTGAAAACTTGGAAATGTGGGTCGGTGTTGTACCAAAAATCGATTGGCTGCCAAATGGCAGCTGCGGGAGCGTGCAGGGGAAAATTTAACAAGATTAACACTTAAAAACAATTTTTTGTTTGCTCGACGTTATAGTAAAGTTGTGTCTCTTAATAAATGCACTTTGACGGTCAAATCAGCTGCATTTCAACAGATGATACGTGGAAACACGAACGCGCAGAGGGCGACTCGATGTGCATTTCTTTGAAATTGAACAAGATAACCACCTAAAATCAATTATTTGTTTGCTCAACATTATATCAAAGATGTGTCTCAGTTGAACTTTTACTTAATAAATTCACTTCGATGGTCAAATCAGCTTCATTTCGTCGGGGCAGCGCAGCAAAATGAAGCTGATTTTATGGTTGCTCCAGGCAGACAACGGTGGCAGTATATGGCAAGCCGATTGTGTCATTAATAGCCACTTTTACCTATTTTACATGATACAATGGCATGCCATACTACTCAACTGCCATCTAGCAGCTGAAAATGGTAGTGTTCAATATTTTCAGTCAAAATGAATGAAAACGGTCATATCTCAGACAAAAATTGGTTTATAAATATGGGAACAAATCCATAAATACGTCGCTTCAGCGTATAAGTCGCAGTGCATCTAAATTATATAAATAAATTAAAAACTGTGACTTATAGGGCGAAAAATACGGTAAATGACATTTTGTTTGAAATTGTCAATTTTTGCCGAAAAGCGACCAGTTTGCAGGTATGAATATGGACTGTGACTTTGAATGTTTACAAAGTTTTACAACAGTGGCCAAAGCTTCATGTTTCCTCATAATGTGATTTTAGTTTAACACTGACTTGAAAGGCAGTTCCATGACATTGAATGCATCACCAATGGAAACCAATACAGCAGGAATCAGATCTACGTTCCATAGCTTCAGTTACCTGTCCAGCCAAGAACATTCCTGCCAAACTCACACACAGCCAGCTGCATCCCAAGACACACACCTGTGAACGCACAAACACTTGGTGAGGTAGAGACAATGATTCTGCTTTATCATGACCGTTATTTAAATAAGAAGGAGCGTGATCCAGAGTGAAACTTTACCTAAGAAGGGTTTTTTCTGTTTCCTGGCCCAGCTGATGGCCTGAATCTTCCCCTCAGTTCCTCTAACACCAAAACCTCCAGGAACAAGGATGCCACTAAAATCCAAAGGAAGTAAATGTTAGACCAATTTAAACAACAAACTGATAAGTACAGAGCATCAGCAAAGTATTCACAGTGCCTCACTTTGGCAGCAGATACTTCCAGCTGAGCTCACCTCTCTTTAGACAGTTTGTCTCATTCTTCTCTGCAGTACTTCTCAACCTCCATCAGGTTGGATGGAGACGTATGTGCAGCCACTTACAGAGATCTCCAGAGATGTTCAATCTGATTCAAGTCTAAACTCTGGCTTGGCCCCTCCAGGACCTTCCCAGAGTGGTCCTGAAGCCACTCCTCTGAGATCTTGACCATGTGTTTTGGGTTGTTGTCCTGCTGTCTGAGGTCAGGAGCTCTCTGGAGCAGGTTTTCATCCAGGAGGTCTTTGTACATTCTGCTGCATTCATCTTTCCCTTTATCCTGACTACTCTGCCAGTTCCTGCGTCTGAAAAACATCCCATACCATGATGCTGCCACCACCATGCTTCACTGTAGGGATGTATTGTTCTGGTGATGAGCTGGTTTCCTCCAAACACGACGTATGGCATTCACACCAAGTTCAATCTTTGTCTCATCTGACCAGAAAACTTAAACCCCCCCATATACTCCTGCGTACGTCAGTCCGCGGAGGTCCAAGCGTACCGGATTAGAGTTGAAGCGGACGCCCGCAGGGCATGTCTGTGCAAAGCTCAATTTTTACGACCGCGTACGCGTACTCTGTGTTGTACACTAAACTGCCCGGCAACAGACTGTTTTGTATGCGACACCAATGTATTAAATTCCTCTTCTTCATCCCTGATCTGGCATTTTCTTTTGTTTTGTTTTTTGCCAAGAAGCAGTGATCTCTTCCTCCTCTGTTGATGCCATGACTGAAATGGTGAGAAATGAAGGAATTTGTCACGAGAATTAAAATCAGGTCCAGCATGGCTGCGGAAGGGTCTGGAGATTTCCTGGTGGGCTGGTCTGATGTGTGGGCTGCAGGGCCAGCGCTCCCCGTTTTTTTTTTTTTTTTTAGAATTTTTTATTAACAACATATAAACACAGAACACTGTTGCAGCTGGGCTGCCAGCTCTCGTTTTTTTTTTTTTGGACCCGTCAATCAATCCAGCAGGCGTGTGTGTCAGCAAATGACCAATCAGTGACCTCAATTTGTCCCAAAGGTAAACGCCCCTTGTCTGCGGAGCTGCTCTGCAGCCGCTCAGGATGGACGCTCGAGCATGAAGTCTCAACCCTCTGCGGACAGTGCGCACACTTTCCATGTGGCTGACAGGACGCAGGAGTTAGTTTCTCCTGGTCTGAGCGTCCTTCAGGTCCTTTTGTCAAACTCCAGATGTGCTGCCATGTTCCTTTTATTAAGGAGTAGCTTTCATCTGGCCACTCTACCAGACAGGCCTGATTGGTGGATTGCTGCAGAGATGATTGTCCTTCTGCAAGGTTCTCCTTTCTCCACATAGGAACTCTGGAGCTCTGACAGAGTGACCATCAGTTTCTTGGTCACCTCACTGACTAAAGCCCTTCTCCCCTGATCACTCAGTTTAGACGGTCAGCACCAGGGAGGGTCCTGGTTGTTCCAAACTTCTTCCATCTATGAATGATGGAGGTCACTGGGCTCAGTGGGACCTTCAAAGCAGCAGAAATGTTTCTGTATCCTTCCCCAGATTTGTGTCTCAACACAATCCTGTCTCAGAGGTCTACAGACCTTTGACTTCATGCTTGGTGTTTGTGCTCTGACCTGCACCGTCAGCTGTGGCACCTTCTATAGACAGGTGTGTGTTTCCAAATCAAGTCCAGTCAACTGGATTTACCACAGGTGGACTCCGTTTAAGTTGTAGAAACATCTCAAGGAGGATAGGTGGAAACATCTGAGCTCAATTTGAGCTTCACGGCAAAGGCTGTATTTACATAAATGTGATTTCTTAGTTTTCTATTTTTTAATAAATTTGCAAAAATCTCAAATTATCTTTTTTCACATTGTCATCATGGGGTACTTTGTGTAGAATTTTAGAGTACATACATTAATTTAATACAATTCGGAATAAAGCTGTAACATATAATGTGGACAAAGTGAAGCTCTGTGAAAACTTTCTGGATGCACTGTTCATCAAGTACAGTTACAGTCACAAGTTTGCATACACCATGAATGTCAGATTTTTTTATGATTTAACTCAACAGTTTTCTTTCAGAGTAAAATGATTATCCAACAAAAAACTTCAATATATTTAAAAGGTTAAAAAAAATTGGGTGCACAAGTTTAAATGATTTCAAGGGTGAAAATTATACATAATGATTAAAAAGAAAGTAAACTTCATGACCCAGGTCCCGACTTTGGGCTAGCCATGCCAGAAGTTTAACGTTAGCCTGTTTTATTAGCCTATTTATTTTCAAACATCCAGCTGTTGATTTGGGGCTTGGAGGCATCTTTTGAATTAAATTCACCAGTACAACAGCATGATACTACCACCACCATGCTTGACAGTTAAAAGACCTTCAAGAACCTGAAGTATGTACCGTAATTTCCGGACTATAAGCCGCTACATTTTTCACACACTTTTAACCCCGCAGCTTATACAATGCTGCAGCTAATTTATGGATTTTTTTTTGACGGGCTAACGAGCTTCATGTCACCAACACATTTCGCCTCGTCACACCCAGGCGCTTACATAGCTTCCCAATACACGTCTCTTTTAGTGGGGTGGGTTCATGTGACTCAATTAGACTACCTGTATAAATAAAAGTTAAAAAAATCTGACCAGTGAAATTACCAAACAGGTCACAGTGGAGAGGGGGAGAAACTTTGTTTCCCCGTCTCCCAGGGAGTACAAAGAAGTATTTGCAGCCACTCGAAACAAGTGTGAATCCTGCATTTATTGTGGCACTCCGAGCTCAGTGGGAGGCTTGAATGACTGGCGGCAAGAAATCGTTTACCAAAACTGGCCACACGCGAAGAGCAACTTTAGCTCAAGTCTGCCAGTGGATCCCGACAGTGGAGCCGTGTAAAAACATCCTCCATCACCAACGGGTTTAGTTTCAAAAGGCTGCAGGAGGAAGATGAAGATAGCGATCGATGACTTCCTAGTAGGCTACTGTATGTTTTGTTTTTTTAAACCAGCAGTGTTACAGGCACTGTTCAGAAATAATAAAAATACTGTACGTATTTGTGCATGTTACCAGTACATATTTAAGTAAATGTTTTAAAAATCTTTCTGTGTAACTACCTCATGTTACAACATGGACACCTGCAGCTTATATATGTACACCAGTGTTTCCCTGACCATTATACCAGCGGGGCGCCCCGTCAACAGAACCGAGTGTCCCGTCTACCAAACCCCACCTCAAACGACCTGTCGGCACTCACGTAACGCTAAACTAGCGGCTCGCAATGCAGGTGTGCTAGCTAAAAAAAGCTAAAGGCAGCCTCTTCCCTCACGCTGAACGCACTCCCGCCACTCGAAAACTGTCGGTACAAACAGCGCACGGCTCAGATGTGTGTCTGTCTCCCCCCCCCCCCCAAAAAAACCTGCTGGTTCAGACAGCGTGCAGCTGAGATGTGTCTCTGTCTCTCTCCTCTACCACACCCTGCTCTAAAACTGTCGGTGCACAGCTTAGGACGTGTGTCCGTCCGTCTTCCCCGCTCCTCCCCCCACGGACGAGATGAGCGCCCCGCCATGGCAAGTTATCTAGGGGAAACGCTGCACACATTTTTTTAAACTTTATTTAGTGGGTGCAGCTTATATTCAGGTGCGCTCAATAGTCCAGAAATGACGGTACGTATATAAAATCTGAGCCTGTTTGTATAATTTACACTGTATGGATAAAAAAACCCACAGTAAATTTAAATTTCTTTTCAATCCTCCAGCTGCCATTGGATCAAAATGATAGTTTGAAAACTGAAACCTTCCATGACCTAAGGGCAGCAGGAGGTTGAACTCACTGAACATGTATAATGTACAGTATATTCATTCTACAATAGTAAAATAAGTTTGGATGAATTGTTAAAAGCCACAAATTGTGTCATTCATGCCAACGAGGAGTGTGCACAAACTTGAGACTGCAGCTGCAATAAAACAGAACATTTTCGTGACTTGTAGAACTCACTCAGCACTGCAGAGTTTCTGCCAGGCCTCGTGGTATTTCACCGGCTCCTCCTGCAAAGTTCCTGGTTCCAAATATGCTGAATCTATGTACTAAGAAGAAGAGGCATGAACTTTACACAATGGAAATATGACACAAAATACTTTGGTTTGAATGCGTTCACACAATCTACTCCTCACAACACAAAAGGTGCAGGTACTTCTCCCCACATTTTATTGAAGCTCTAGAATCTGAATTAATGGCAAAACCCATTTAGATTTTAGGGACACGTACGATCGTTTTTAAACAGTAACACCAAAAGGCGCACGACAATTAGGAACTGTTAATCAGATCGCTTGTATACAACACTACGCTGAACGTAAATAAGTCTCAGTGATGAGCAACTCAGTTACAGAAGAATAAATCAAATTAATGCCTAATCTCATGGAATACTGCGACGCCTTCTGACATTTTCAAAATGATTCTCAACTATTAATACCAAATATTACCTCAATATCTGTAAAGTGGCTGAGCTAGAGCTATTATTGTGTTGGCTAGTGTCACACAGCTGTGGCAGCCATCTTGAATTTGGTTGACTCGATAAAGTAAGTTATAGATGTACAGACGTGGACAAACGTGTTACCAATTAATTTGTCCATGTCTCTACACCCATTTTCAGAGTTTCATTAAAGTTCATCCAACAGTTCATGGGATATTTTGCTAACAGAGTTGCCTTTGATTGTTATCAGCGTCTTCTTTTTCTCTTGTTATTTTTCATTTTAGGGGTCGCCTGCGTACTCCTGCCTCTACTCTTATAGGTCACATATGTTCCTCCCTCTTTTGGAAATGGGTGTGGGCCACAGCCATTTATCAAAAAGTGACTGGTTTCCAAATGTATCGTCTCTTTCTTTTGGATGCTGCCTTCTTCAGGGAGCAAGCTACCTTGCACAAGGATTTGACAACAGTTTTTACACCAGATGTCCTTCCTGACGCAGCCACAGACCACCGAGCTCCCACAGCCCTCTGTGTGGAGCAGATGGGTGGGGGTAGGGCCTTGCTCAAGGGCCCAGGGTGGGTCAAATGAGGGTGGAAGCAGATGTGTGTGCTTCACCTTTTCCATCCACATTTTGATCTTACGGTCAGCAGGGGGATTTGAACCGACGACAATCCAATCACAGGTTCACTTCTCTAACCTCTGCGCCACCACTCCCCCATGGCTGGGTTCCAATTGTTATTGGCAAAATTTTTAAAACGGATCTTCATCGATCATCTATTATGTAGCTCAATATCTGTAGGGTTAAAACCTCGTTGCTAACGTCGCTTCGTCATAGAAACCATCATAAATGTAACCCCAAAAGTTTCTCTGTTCTGGACGTTCATCCAAGTCCAACTTTCTGAAAGTTTCATTAAATTCTTTTCAGTGAATCATGATATATTTTGCTAACGTAACGGACGAGTTAAGAACTTTAAACACAAAGGTAAATACATTGATTGCTCTTTTGAAATTTGGCTGTACGTGATAACAAAATTCCAACATTAATATTTAAACAGAGCTTCATACAAACCTTCACTTCCAGCTTGTGGTTGATGGCTAATGCAGAGTGCTCCAGAGCCTTTATGACTGAGGCGTAGGAGTCAGAAAACTTTGTGTACTTCCCCACCAGAGCTATGGAACACTGCTCCAGCAGCCGGTCTGACCTTTGAGGACGACACCAAAGTATTCAGTAACGTTCATGTGAGGAAGATGAATAAAAAAATGGCATAACATAGCACTAGCTAAAAGCTAAAACAAGCATAATAGTAGCCAAAACCTTAAAATTACAAAACAGTGGCTTAAAAATAAAATTTGAACATTAGCTGAAAGCTTAAACTGGCAAAACAATAGTTGAAAGCTAAAATTAGCAAAATGTTAGTTAAAAGTTAAAACCAGCATAACAGTAGCTTAAGGTTTAAATGAGCAAAACAGACAAAACAAGAGCAACAAGTTGACAATCTCAATGTATTTCTATGAGGAACTAGTAAACAGTGGCCATTTTAGCTGCTTTTTGTCTGGGTTGGCTTCTGTTTATTGCATTTATGATTCAATGCAACAAAACAAACAAATTTAAAAGAACGGATCATTGCAATATTTGATTTATTTACATAATGACTTTAATCAAAAGTATAAGCGCTAAAGAAATCAGGTCTCTCTTGTAAATGAGTCCCCGAGGCTCAGTGGGATTAATCTGTATAAATAAAGGTTGAATGAATGAATGAATAATAGCTGGATGTTCAGTCTGAGCTGCTGCTTTCTGGCCCCCTGAGCAGTTTAGTTGAACAGCCTAATTTAGAGGGTGGATACAGTTCATTACATTTCCAAAACTTAAACTGAGTATGGAAAAATGTAAAAGATGATAAAGTCCTGCAGATGACCTCATGAGAAGCTGAATACAGCAGTTATAAACAGGAAGTAACATGCTCATCTGTACGAAGGTAACTGCAGGTAAATCCTCCATTTTATTTAGTAATTAAATTGTACGATTAATGGTTAAATTAAAGGTTAATGCTTTAAGCTAGTTGTGCTTTGTTTTGTGTTTTTTTATGTAGATATATCTTGTAACTTCTGGTCGCATGAGTTTAGTTTTTGTTTGTTATGATCAGTTAACACTAACTGATTTTGTACAAAGTGTTTATTAGGTTGTGTAATGTAAAGCAGAGCACTACATCTGTAGTGTCTTAGCTAGCACATTTGTATTGCACGCCGCTAGCTGAGCGTTGCTTCTTGTTGTGCCGTCCTCTCTAAAATACTTATTGAATCAAGTGTTTACTTATGGAGGTAAACATAGATCTTTAACAACCTGTTAAAATACAACAGAATGTCATTGTCAGCACTGGGGGCTAAACACCCTAAAGGTCAGATTCTAGCATCATCCCTGCTAGTAAATAAAATTAAATAAAAAGTACAAATATTACAAATAGGCTTATCGTGATAAACAATAAATCAAATAATCGTATGATAAATGAAAATGATCTCCCTCATTTTCATTTATCAGCTTTATCGTTTCTTCGTGTCTCTCTACTGAAGACACTGGATGATAAAAGGATCAACTCCGGTGTTCTTCACTGACCCCTCCCTTTCTCTTTAAAATCCGTTTTAACGATCTAAAATCACGTTTATGGATCGTTAAAAGAAGCCAAGCTACGAGCTAAGCTAACAGGCCGACCTCAGGAAAAAAACCTCCGTCTTCTCAAAGATCCAAAATTCACAGTTGAAACCCGTGCCTTCGTGTAAAAAGTTGTTTTTTCTCTGCAAAAAGAAGAACTTGAAAGTTGAACTTGTTTACTGGCTTTTTATTAAAAGCTTTGTCTGAAAAATGTTATGCTAAAGAGCTCAAACCACACGAAGCGTCCACCATTTTGAGAACCAAAGAGGGACAGCTCATGTCACGTCAAGGGTCCTCCCTCCCATTTTTCTTAAAGAGACGCTGCTCGCTCCCTCACTATCCATCCTTTGATTCAAACCCTCTTATACTGCCATCAGGTGGTCAAAAAAAGTACTACACAAAATTAACCAACATTTCTTCTTAAATTTGACAATAATTACTAACTTTTGTCAAATTTCAAACAATATTATCATTTATCACTAAAATTTCTGAGACAATTAATCGCTCAGCAAAATTTGTTATCATGACAGGCCTAATTACAAAGACCACAGTCACAGTCCCAATGTCCTGAATGAGCAGAAAGTCTTGTCACTTGAATGGCTGACACACCTGAAAGTGTGGGCCATGGACCATAATAGACAGACAAGGATTAGGATGTGCTGATCTGCTAAGTGGAGAGATGGTAGGGCATATCGTTCCTGATGTAGCGGCCGGTGATTTATGCAGAAAATGCAATAACTGCAAACAAAATGGTGTATTCTAATGCAAAACAGCAGCATTTAAACAACTGTTATCAGGTAATTCAGATCGGTCCTAAGCATTGAATGGTTATTTATTGTAGTAGATTAGTGGTAACCATGAGGCAGAGAGCGAAGCATCAAGAAGTCCTGTGAGAATCAGCAGTCTGTGTGTGTGTTGAAGGCAAACCAATGAAACAAAATCTGGCAGTTCATTCTTGTTCTACAACAAGAGCTGCACTCTCCACCAGGAGCTTTGAACAGTTTATAATAATAATCTGTGGACTCCTGCAGCTTAAACACTAGCATGCCTTATTTATGTACAAAATTGTGGTTTATTTTAAATTTAGTATGCACGGCTTAGTCAGTTGCGTTCTATAGACCGGCAATTACGGTAGTTGCCCAACCCTGACAGCTGACCTTTAAACTCCCCCATGAAAACTAAGTAAAATGCCTCAAATATCTGTGTAGGACAGGGGTGTCTAATTCTGTTCCTGGAAGGCCATTATCCTGAATATTTTAGAGGTTTCTCTGCTCCAACATGCCTGATTCGAATCAATGGGTGATTAACAGGCTTCTGCAAAACACCAATATATAGTTAAATCATTAAATTAATTGTGTTGCAGCAGGGAAACATGCAATCACTTATGAAAACAAGTGCTTGCATAAAGATTCACCCCCCTGACCTAACTGAACTGTAATACTGTACTGCCTGATGACTCACCTGTCTGACATCTCCTTCCACTTGGTGAGCATGGTCCTGGATTTAGTCTCAATGGGCATGTTCAGTCTCCTGCTCAGGTAGCTCACCACGCCCTGGTCTTCCAGGAGTAAGGGCACTCTATAAATGGAAGAGACATCGTGCACACAGATGACCTGGAACAAGGCACAGCGAAAGATTTAGAACCATCACTGAAATTTGGGATTCTGCTTAGTTACTGGTTGATGTAGCATCCGCCTACCTGTTGAGGTTCTACGTGACAGAACATTGAGATTTTCTCTTTGACAGAATTCTCCAGAGCAGTCGAACAGCGGCACATAATCTACCAGCAAAGATGAAAGAATCAAACATGCAGACAATATAGGGTTTTTATAGAACTACCGCTTACAGCACATTATACATCTATTGACAAACTATTATACAGCAATCTATAGCAATGGCCCAGACATCTGTATAACATTTGACTTTGATTTGTAACCTTGTGACCTACGGATGGAGATTATACCATATTACGCAACACCTTCGACAGGTGTATAATAAAAACAGAACAGAAGAATAAAAGCCTTGCATGTCAGAGTTTTAGACTAAATAATCCTTTTGAGGAAAGGATAGGCAGTTATAATAATTTTGGTCAAACCTTGTAAAAAAGATGGTACAGTAGTACCTACTGTTGCTACTTCACGGTTCAACTTTCGCGGACTTGCTCTGTCACCGTTTGTCAACATAAATAATTTTTTTTGTACAGTGAAGTACACGACACACGATTGTCAACTTTACATTAATATTGTACTCGCATGGTTGGGAAAAAGTAAATAAATAAAATAAATATAGACAGGCGCCACCTTTTTGTAGTTTTCTTTCAATAAGCCTACACTGTAGTCACCACTCAACAGGACTTCATTTCCCAGAAGCCACTACTGTACTGTAGTGCCTCCGGCCGCTGCTTTCTGCTGAACAGAAAGCGAAGTCATGACTGCCAGACGGTTTTTCAAACATAAGATTTTAATTGTGTCACTTGGACAAGTTTCTTTAAGAAAATTAAACTTTAAGATTCACAAGAATAAATCACGTCAGCACATGTCTCTTTAAGAAACAGAACATTGTGCTATGTAACCCGGGCGCTGATTGGCTGAACAGAACTGGACCCCCAGACTCAGTGGTTAACCCAGGAGCTCTAAGCCGGCCCATGAGGGCTTCCAAGAGGGGATGGGCTGCCGTAGGTCCGGCGTTGTTTCTGGAGCCCACTGACACTACCACAAGCCAGAGAGCCGACCAGAACCAGCAGGGTAGGTCCGCCCCTGAAACGAAACCAGGTCGAAGCGGAACCAAGCCGCTGCTGTTCTGCAGATCTGGTAAGTAAAATGTAGTAGGTACATATACAGTACTGTATGTATTGTATGTTGTTAAAATTAGTAGGTTTAAGAGTTTAGAACATTGCAGGAGTGTGGGAAGGGTTGGGGTGTTCTGGAACGTAGACCCCGCAATAAACGAGGGACTACTGTTCTCATGTGATATTGCAAAATGATGCATTAAGCTCAAAATACGAATGACTCAGCTTTTGCCACATTCAAATCTAGGCCATTGAATGAATGACCACGTTAGAACCATTTTTGTATTGGCTAAGATCATTCAAGAGTGGCGGCTAACACCAAAAGTTGTAGAGGTGCATCTAATGATTATTTCCGAGTTTCATTAAATCTTTTCACTGGTCCATGAGACAGTATGTTAACAGAGAAACAGCCTCGACTCCAACAGTTAATGCCAAAGTTTGAAGTTAAGATCTCATATAAAGCTTAGTTTGAACTGTTATGAAGGACTCTGAGCAACTACTACATCAGGTGTGCAGTGGAGAGCATCCTGTGCTCCAGCATCAACGTGTGGCATGGAGGCTGCACAGCTGCAGAAAGAAAAGCTTTACAGAGAGTGGTGAAGGCTGCACAGAAGATGTTGGAGTCAGACTCCCCACCATCTCAGACATCTGTGACAGTTTTTGTTTTAGTTTTCTACATTTGCTTTATAATCTAGCTGTTTTGTTACTCTTATTTGTAAAAAAGAAAAAATCTGTATGCCTTTTTATATTTGTTTATTGTTGTCGCTGTTGTCCATTGTTGTCATCATTCTTTGTTGAAATCAGGTCTCTCTTGTAAATGAGTCCTTGAGGCTCAATGGGATTTACCTGTCTAAATAAAGGATGAATGAATGAATGAATCACAGACATCTACACCTCTAGATGCAGAAAGAGGGCCACCTGCGTCATGAAGGACCCCACTCATCCAGCACACACACTTTTTGCCCCGCTCCCCTCAGGAAGGAGGTTAAGGAGCATTAAGTGTAGAACCACTAGACTGAGGAACAGCTTCTACCCTGAGGCTGTTAAGACTCATGAATCTCTCACCAGAATAATCACTGTGAAAAATCACATGATGTTGCTGCTGATCTGTTTCATGATGCTGCTGATCTGTTTCAATGATGCTGCTGATCTGTTTTATGTTGCTGCTGATCTGTTTCATGATGCTGCTGATCTGTTTCAATGTTGCTGCTGATCTGTTTCATGTTGCTGTGTTCATTCATGTTCATCTGCTCACACAGACTCGCGTTCGTGCTGCTGTTTGGCGTATTGTGATTATTGTTTTTATGTTATGAGTGCTTAGCGTATTATTTAGTTGATGTTTTTTTTAGTTCATATCTTAGATGTTATTACTGTTTTTCTTTTACATTTTATTGTTGGATGTAACTGGGACCCTGTGTACTTAATTTCATTAACAATAAAGAATCTCTGAATCTGAAATCTCAATATCTGTAAAAATAGCCTTTTATAAGCTAGCTAAGAGTTGGTTGTGGTGACCATTTTGAATCAAGTTGACTCCGATGGTTTTTAAGTTATTGTTGTTCAACTCCAAACAGTGGGTCATGATATTCACCGTATTTTCCATCGTACACATCACACCGCCCTATAAGTCGCATCAGCCCAAATATGTCTAATAAAGTGAAAAATTCCATAAATACGTCTCTTCGCCGTAACGTTGCATCTAGAATTGACTTCAACCGGATCGAGACCTAGGTTTTTAGGCGGACCAGAGTTTGCTTTTTTGGTCCGCAACAGAGTTTGACTGCATTCACACCTCCCCAAACAAACCGGACTTTCTAGGCAAATGGACTAACGTTTGATTAAAGCAACTAAACAGGGCTGGTGTGAATGCACCCTCAGTCTAACTTTTCTTAATAAATGCACTTTGACGGTCAAATCAGCTGCATTTCAAAAGCCGATATGTGGCCGCCGGAGCGCACAGAGGGACGACTCGCTGTGCATTTCTTCAAAATTTAACAAGATAACCACCTAAAAACAATTATTTGTTTGCTCGACTTTATATCAAAGGTGTGTCTCAGTTGAACTTTTACTTAATAAATGCACTTCACGTTTGCTCCAGGCATGATACCGGAGCTGGATGAAGGTGGCTGCTAAGGCAAGCCGATTGTGTCATTAATACCCACTTTTACCCATTACATGACACAACAGCATGCCATACTGCTCAACTGCCATCTAGTGGCTGAAAATGGTAGTGTTCAATATTTTCAGTCAGAATGAATGAAAACTGTCATATCTCAGTCAAAAATTGGTTTATAAATATGGGTAAAAATCCATAAATACATCGCTTCTGCGTTTAAGTCGTCGGGCATGAAATTATGCACACAAAAAAAAAAGATACTTATAGGGCAAAAAATACAGTATTGCTAAAAGATGAACAAACAGAGAAACAGACAGGGGCAAAAACATGATCGTTGTTTTGTCTTCAACGGCAGGAGACATGCACATAATGTAAAGGACAATAACTCACCAGGTCTGGAGAAAGACCGAGACCTCTCAGTTCTCGGACGCTGTTCTGGGTCGGTTTGGTTTTCTGCTCCCCTGTTGCACTCGGCTATCAAACAAACAAACAGCGCACACTTTAGAAAACATTTTTCCTTGTCTTGTTGAGAGGAAGTGTGAATGTGTGCGAGTCCCACTGAAGCTCCCCGCCAGGTGTGAAAGTGTTCCTGTCTTACCTGTGGTATCAGACTGACGTGAATGTTGCAGAAGTTCTCTCTCTTCACTTTAAACTGGAACTGTCTGAAGGCCTCAACAAACGGCATACTCTCGATGTCTCCAACAGTGCCTCCAAGCTGCAGACACACATTAAGAAAGATTATTGTGAGACCTCCTGACTCAGGACAGGAAGTTCTTAATCTACTGTCATCACATTGTTTTCGAACACCACAGGATTGTGAACATGCAGCTGGCTTCAAAGCAGTTCCTATTAACGATTATGAAACTGCAGCACATTGAAGGGCCCTGCATTCTCCATCCAAAGTGTCGAACTCGGCTCTCACTGACTTGGTTGTGTGACAAAAATTGTGTCATTTTATCCTCCGAGTAACTCCGCCCACCCCTTTTCAACACAAGGCCCAGGCTGAACTTTTTCTCACAGGTGTATGCACCAAGTATTGTGTGACTGGTTGGACGTCTGTGGGCGTGTTTGTCGATGCGGAAATGTGTTCGAACCTTCACCTGTACGATTCTTCAAACACTAAATTAGTCAAATGGACAAAAACTCCTAGATGGAGATAGAGCAGAAGTTGAATGCAGGGACTGTACTGTACTAATATTAATTAGTGCAGTGGGAGGGGTTTCCCATGAGTTCTGCTCCTGTATCTTGTGGACTATGAAAGGTGTGTGTTATTAGGTTTGTTAAATGTTTTTATTTCAGGTTGACAGCTCTAAAAGACTGACAAGTTTTTTGAAGTAAAAATAATTAAAACTGGTATTTTTGATCAGTTAAATAAGGTAGTTAATTTCCCCCTGAGGAACATGAATAGTCAAAGTTAAAGGGTTAAAACTGTCTTAATCAAATGTTCATAATATGATGCTTTTGATGTGGATCAGATTTCATGATCTTGTCTGTAGTTACAGAAAACAAAGTGAAGTTTTTGAGCTGCATGAATTCAACTGGGACTGCTGCAAGATAAAGAATAAAGATGAATTCATTGTGAAATTATTATTTCAGTGTTTCCCCTAAAATTATACAAGCAGGACGCCCTGTCAACAGAACCGAGCCTACCGAACGACCCACCCCCTCCTGGGTCGACAACTGCCAGCACTGATGTAACACTAAGCTAGCGGCATGCAATACAGACGTGCTAGCTAAAAAGCTACAGACAGTGCTCCGTTTCCCTCATGCTGAGCAGTCTACCCCCCAGCTCGAAAACTGTTAGTACAAACAGTGCGCAGCACACAGACGTGTCTCCCGTCTCGTCTCAACACACCCCACCCCCGTCATCAAAAATCACAGAAGATATGAGCACCATTCCAAAGTAAGTAAACTAGGGTAAACCCTGTATTTATTAGATTATCTAACATGTACAGTGAGGAAAATAAGTATTTGAACACCCTGCCACTTTGCAAGTTCTCCCACTTAGAAATCATGGAGGGGTCTGAAATGTTCATCTTAGGTGCATGTCCACTGTGAGAGACATAATCTAAATGAAAAAAAATCTGTAAATCACAATATATGATTTTTTAATAATTTGTGTTACTGCTGCAAATAAGTATTTGAACAGCTGCCAATCAGCAACAGTTCTGGCCCTCAAAGACCTGTTAGTCCTCATCTATAACGTCCACCTCCACTCCACTGATTATTCTAAATTAGAAGCACCTGTTTGAGGTCAGTAGCTGCAGAAAGACACCTGTCCACCCCACAAAATCAGTAAGACTCCAACTACTAACATGGCTAAGACCAAAGAGCTGTCCAAAGACACCAGAGACAAAATTGTAGACCTCCACAAGGCTGGAAAGAGCTACAGGGCAATTGCCAAGCAGCTTGGTGAAAAAAGATCAACTGTTGGAGCAATTATTAAAAAATGGAAGAAGCTAAACATGACTGTCAATCTCCCTCGGACTGGAGCTCCATGCAAGATCTCACCTCGTGGCGTTTCAATGATCCTAAGAATGGTGAGGAATCAGCCCAGAACTACACGGAGGAGCTGGTCAATGACCTGAAGAGAGCTGGCACCACTGTTTCCATGGTTACTGTGGGTAATACACTAAGACGTCATAGTTTAAAATCATGCATGGCACGGAAGGTTCCCCTGCTTAAATCAGCACACGTCCAGGCCCGTCTTAAGTTTGACCATGACCATTTGGATGATCCAGAGGAGTCATGGGAGAAAGTTCTGTGGTCAGATGAGACCAAAATAGAACTTTTTGGTCTTAATTCCACTCGCCGTGTTTGGAGGACGAAGAATGATGAGTACCATCCCAAAACACCATCCCTACTGTGAAGCATGGGGGTGGAAGCTTCATGTTTTGGGGGTGTTTTTCTGCACATGGGACAGGACGACTGCACTGTATTAAGGAGAGGATGACCGGGGCCATGTAGTGAGAGATTTTGGAGAACAACCTCCTTCCCTCAGTTAGAGCATTGAAGATAAGTCATGGCTGGGTCTTCCAACATGACAATGACCCAAAGCACACAGCCAGGAGAACCAAGGAGTGGCTCCGTAAGAAGCATATCAAGGTTCTGGAGTGGACTAGCCAGTCTCCAGACCTAAACCCTATAGAAAATCTTTGGAGGGAGCTCAAACTCCGTGTTTCTCAGCGACAGCCCAGAAACCTGGCTGATCTAGAGAAGATCTGTGGAGGAATGGACCAAAATCTCTGCTGCAGTGAACCTGGTGACAAACTACAGGAAACCTTTGACCTCTGGAACTGCAAACAGAGACTACTGTACCAAATATTAACATTGATTTCCACAGGTGTTCAAATACTTATTTGCAGAAGAACACACAAATAAATTATTTTTAAAAAATCATAAATTGTGATTTCCAGATGTTTTGTTTTTTTAGATTATGTCTCTCACAGTGGACATGCACCTAAGATGGACATTTCAGACCCTCCATGATTTCTACGTGGGAGAACTTGCAAAGTGGCAGGGTGTTCAAATACTTATTTTCCTCACTGTATATTATCTCGCTCTACAAACTGATTAACAGCTGCTGCAGATTATGACTTCATAACTCTTCATGTCTGTGATGCTGGTGAGACATTTTCATCAGTGATCCGTTTAAACAGTCCGTGTTCAACATACAGAACATCTATGAGTTGATGTTGAAAATGACTCCAGCCTCCTACTCTAAAAGATATTGTGCTGGTTGTATAGGACGAACGAGTGACAATGCAGCTTACCTCGATCACACAGACTTGAGGCTCGACTTCATCATCATCAACTGGCACTTTGGCCTGTTTCACAACCCATTCCTGGATGGCATCTGTAATATGTGGAACCACTGGAACAGAGTGAAGTGATACAGCGTTTTAATTCACGTCTTTAGCAGAACTGTTGCAGGAAATTTTAATGATGTGTATTTTTTCCCTCAAAGAAATTTTACATACAATTACAAAAAAAAAGTGAAACTTCCTTCAGTTCCAGGGTTTTAAGTATCGGGACATAATAAAAATTATTTGGAAGATACACCAGGTTCTAAAACTACTCACAAAAAACTTCTGCTGTTTTTATTATTTTAAAAAACAAAACTGAAGGCAAAAAGGAAAAGCTGTGTGTGAACAACCACATCCACCTCGATTCAGCAGCTCAGTAGAGGTTTTCTGTAGGACTTCATCTGTCTCTCCCATTGTTGTGGAGTTTTGGCCCATTCTTCTTACCATCATTGTTTCAGTTCATTACTGTTAGCAGATATTTGGTTATGCTGCTCTCTGGAGGCTCCACCACAGCATTTCAGTCTGACTGAGGTTTTGGACTTTGACTGGACAGTTGCAGCACATTGAGTCTTTTCTTTTGTGCTGTTCTGTTGTACATTAGCTGCTGTGTGAACTCCTTGTTCTGCTGCATCATAACCAGTTTGGTCCAAGCTTCAGCTATCGGACAGAGATCCTCATACAGTAGTCCCTCGCTACTTCGCGGTTCGACCTTCACGGCCTCGCTCTTTCACGCTTTTCAAAAGTAAGATTGTATACAAAAAAAATTTAATAAAAAAAATTGTACAGGACATAAGATTGTGAACTTTAATATTACTCAGGTGATTGGGACAGTACAGGATACTGTACTGTAAAAAGTTAACAAAATAAAATACTTTGGACAGCCACCTCCATTTTGTAGTTTTTTTCTCAATAAGTCTACACTGTATTCCCATTCATAATGACTCATTTCCCAGAAGCCCTGTTGCCTTCTGCTGAAATGCTGGAGGGAAAATTTTGATCTGATCCGAAAAAGTTCAGTCCTTATAATCCAAATACAGTGACTTCGGCGCCCAGCGGATGCAGAGAGCTGCACAGAATCCACCGGGCACCGGACCTAAAGACCCATCAACAAATCCGAGAGCTGCTAGCCAGTCCATGAGGACCTCCAAGTGTGGATGCACGCCGCTGTAGGTCCAGCCTCTCTCCGGAGTCCACCAGTACTTTTTCATCTTTCTATCAGACCACCAGTCCCAAGCCGGCCACCCGAAGGTCCCCCCCCAGAAAATGCGCTTCGGCGCTCAACGGCTGCACAGAACTGGACCAGAACCGGCAGGGTAGGTCTGCTGGACCGGAACCAAGCCACTGTTTCTGCAGAATTGGTGAGTAAAATGTTGTAGTACTGTGCAGTTAAAATCATGTAGGTTTAAGAGTTTAGAACATTGTGGGCTTCGTCGCTGCAGGGTAGGTCTGCAAAAATGGAACCGGGTCAGACCGGAACCAAGCAGAACCGAGAGCTGCTGCTGTTCTGCAGAACTGGTGAGTAAAATTTATTAGTAGCTACATTTATGCATGTTGTTAAAATGACGTAGGTTTAAGAGTTTAGAACATTGCAGAGTGTGGGAAAGGTTTATATAAAGCCTTCATTTATATATAAATACTAAAATAAATATTTTGCAGATTTACACTTATTGCAGGGGGTCTGGAACGTAACCCCCCACAATAAACGAGGGACTACTCTATTTGACACTCGAATCCTTTGGGCTACAGAAAAGTTGATAACTGACTCGTTGAGTGCAAGGAGATCGAGCGGTCATTTCTAACCCGAACCCGAAACCTGGCCCGGCCGGGTCGTTATAATGCGATTAATGTGTGGGCCTGGCCGGTCTTGGGCTTTGATGCGGTTTTATGAATCACACAGCACAAATAAAACTAAATGCGCAATAAGCGTGCAGAGAAAAAAAGATTTTTTAAATTATCTAGATTCTTAGTCCTGGTGATTCTGAATGGATTCTAAAGGTCCATAAATCCATTTCAAAATGCGTTTTAGTTTTTTTTTTTCCGCTCCTACTCCCAAGCGTACTGCATATTGCATTACGTGTCCGCTCGGCCACCATAGAATTGGACCGTGCAGGCCACCGTACAGCAAGCTAGTTAGCTAGCTCCCTTTATCTGAATGGAGCCTGCTAGCATGGAGGAGGGGGACAGCGTGATTCAACCTGCTGCTTCGTCTTTAAAAATCATTTTAGATCCTACAATGTTCCGGGGGAAGACAGAGCTTCACAAGAGCACAGTTGTTTGCAAGAAGTGTAAAATAAAATTGTGATACAGTATTTTGAAAATACGACAAAATGTGCGGAAGATGAAAGCGAAGCAGCCGACCAGCGAACTCTGCAACAAACTTCCAGCTGATTCCCCAAAGGCTGTGAAGAGTTCCCTCTCCATCTCCGGCTGTATCACAAAGATTTACAAGCAGACAGCTCAGTGGAAGGTGAGGGGTCCAGGTTCATTTTTAACATGTTGGATCCAATGTACGTTATTCCTTCATGTAGATTTGTTTTTTGTTTGTTTGTCTTGTGATAAAGCAGCAGCACAACTTCACCATGAAGCAACGAATGGGAGAAGCTCTGATGCAGCTGCAGCTCAAAGGTAAATGCTTTTTCTCATATTATACTAAAACTTATAGACAAGTTGTACAAGAAACTTTATGTAATTTGTCTTTTTAACAGGTTGAAGAGGACAGATGAGACATCACCTGGAGCCAGTTCTAAATGATACAGTTTATGGTTTATTAATTACAGTTCAGAAGAGATTTTGTGCAGGTTTGCACAGGTTTTGAAATTTTATTAAAGATTTACTAAATATGAATCAATATGGTTAAGACTGAAGTCTGTATATTTCATATTAGGTTAAGTTTTGAAAATATAAAGGTTAGAGCAATATGGTTAAAAATAACTGTGAAGTCTGTATTTTATGTCGAGTTAAAGGTTAATGTACTATGGTAGAATGAAGTCTGTTTACTTTTGTATTTATACATTGTTAATTATTTGTCTGTGATGGACTGAGACCTGTCCAGGTGGATGATGGATGAATTATTTGTTCCTAGATTTTTATTTATTTTAGAAAAATTCAGGCAATTAAACTAACCTAATACTGGTAATTTAACTTATAGAACATTATGCACTCTTATATTTGTTCCTAGTTTTGGTGTAAATATAAAATGATGCCAAAAGATGTGATACAGTAAAAAAAAAAACTAAAATTATTGTTTACAATAAATGTTCTATTTGTTTACATTGTTGTTTAATATTTTCATCATGTCAGTTACATAACTGAAACAAACTTTATGACCTTTTCAATAGAAAAATCGTTTCTGAACCGAAAAAAAACAATTTGGAATCGAAAAATTGATTTTGAATTGAATCGTGACATCAAAAATGGGAATCGAATCACCAGACACAGAGATTCGCACCCCTAATGCACAATATAACAATGTGTTAATGTGCTTGTTGAGGAGGAGGCAGGTCCGACCGGCCGGTTTAAAAAAGTCGTGTTAAGCTCAGATGGACACTTGTCAGCGGCCGCGCGCGTCAGCTGACTCGCTGGTTGAAATGGACTTGCGACCTGTCCAGGGTGTGCCCCACCTTTCGCACAGTGACTGCTGGATATGGGCACCAGCTACCCCCGCTACCCGAACAGGAAGAAGTGGGTAAAGATAATGGATGGATGGATCAATCAGCTGATGGCCGGCTGCGCACGTCTCGGCACCTGCTCTCATCTGAGCTGCGTGAAGCTGAAACCACACACACGTCAAAAATTCCAGCAAACAGAATGAGCAGTCAGTGCTACGTGTGTGCTAGGTGGGGTGTCAGCTTCACGCAGCTTCTCATCTGCGGTGAAGGAAGTAGAAGACTCTACAAAAGCCAAAGCGAGCAGCGCGTTCATTTAAAATAGCCCTGTTCTGTATTTTTCCAAACAATTTTGCTCTAAAATAGTTTTGTTCATCTGTGTAATAGCCGAACTCTTTAGAGTTGATTTTTAGGCTATTTGTTTTGTATGTTAATATCCATTTGGTGACTTGTTAATAAAATAAATCTTATAACTTCCTTTCATTACGTTTTTAAAACTATCATGTCAAACTGATTTGCTTACAAAAGTAGTAAAATTTAATTAAAAAAAAGGGTTTTTGCTCTTTTTCAGGTTTGGCCCTCTAATTACCAGTAATCCGTTGGGTTTGGGTAGGGCTCGGAAAAAAAATGTACGGGCTCGGTCCGGATTTATTAGGCCCGAATGCAACTCTACAAGGAGCCCAAATCATCAGCTCTCCACCACCATGCTGACAGTTGATATGAGCCATTTCTGCTGATAAAAATCATTTTGTTTTCTCCAAACATGGCCCAGTGCATTATGGGTATAAACATTTGTACTTTGTCTCGTGTCCAAAGGACATCATTCCAGAAGTCTTGTGGTTGATTCAGTAAAACTTTCCAAACTTAAGTCGTGCTGTCATGTTGCTTTTATAGAGAAGAGGCTTTCTCCTTCAGCCCTTCCAAATAAGTCATAGTGGTTCAGTTTGTTCCCAAATACTATGTTGACCTTTAACCTTTAATGTGCTAACTGAGGCCTGCAGAGTCTGAGATGGTGCTCCTTTCTCCGAGCATGGCACGGTCAGACCTTGGGGTGAATCTGCTGAGACGTCCATTCCTGGGAAGATTAGCAACTGTTTTAAACATTTTCCACTCGTGAACCTTTCATTCTATGGAACAATAGGCTCTATATGGTTTGGAAATGACCTTTGACCTTTCCCACACTGATGGGCAGCAACAGCTGCGACTCTAGTCATCCCCTCTACCGTGGCATTGTGTTGAACCACACCTGTATGTTTCAGAGCAGCGAAAACTCCTGCTCTTGTAAAGGTGATCACACTGATGATGATCTGGTAATTAATACACTGGAACTGCAAACGTGGACTTTGTTTTTTTCACACACACATTTCCATTTGTGCTTTGTGTCTAATAATCAAGAACATTGTGGAATTTGTTATTTTAGATTTTAATATTTGTAGAACCTGGTGTTTGTTATGTCATGATAAGTAAAAGTGTTTAAATTGAATGAGGTTGGACTTTCTGGTTCTCGTAAAAGTCAATATTTACTAAAAATATTCATGAATCTATTTTTAAAAAAGCTCCAAATTTCACATTTTTTGCTCTGTATTATAGATAATGTAAGTAAAAAGGACAAATTCTGAATGTGCACTTTCCTAAGAAAGTATTGTCTTGTTTATAAAGACGGGTCTTTGATTGCACTTGGATAAAAATGACAGAGTATGTCATCTTACGTGGTGTTTAGTCTGATTTACTGCAGCACTTTGATTTTTTTTACATTTAGAGGCAGTTACCCTGCACGGTCTTGCCCAGGTAGTCTCCCCTCCTCTCCTTGTTGATGACTGACTGATAGATTTTTCCTGTTGTCAGATTGTTATCCCGTGTGAGCCGGATATCAAGGAAGCGTTCATAGTTCCCCAGGTCCAAGTCCACCTCACCGCCGTCGTCGAGTACGAACACCTCGCCTGGACACAATCAGCGCAGAACGATCAATCACAAACACAACGTGCAGCCGCTTCAGTTGATCTCACTGACGTACCGTGTTCATAGGGAGAAAAAGTGCCTGCGTCTATGTTGATGTACGGATCAATCTTGATGGCCGTTACACGCAAACCACATGACTTGAGGATTGTGCCCACGCTGCTCGCTATGATACCTTTGCCAATGCCGGAGATGACTCCACCAGTTACCAGGATGTATTTCATCATTGCGCTCATGTATCTGTAGAGAGACGACAAGTTTGACTCTGGCTGTAGCGTCCCGTAAACACTCAAGGTTTTTATTGTTTAAATGCTGATTCAGCATTTACACGATTGTTTACATCAGCAAACTTATTCATGAACCAAAACATTCAGCTCACTTAGAAATAGTGCACTATGGCTTAGCATTTACAACTTTTATACTTTTTGAATTACTTTAATTTATTTACAAAACAATCCACATAAAAACAAATTAGGGTTTCTTCAGAATGACATTTGGGTCATTCCGTATGTTGCGGGAGTTTCAGAGAAACTGAGACGTTTATTTTCTAAACATGAGTCCCAGTGGCTTTTAAACCCCAAAAAACATTACGGCAAAGACTGGTTCATCCCAAAGATCCAGTCCCCCAGCACAAACAGAGTAATATGGCAGTTGGTACGGTGACAGTTACAGTTTTTTTACACATAAAGCTACAATTTTTTTTTTTTTACATTTAGCTTTTTTGTTACAGCTTTGCTAGTGCATGTTAGTTTTTATTTAGTTTAAACCAACTGTTTTGTTACATTTAGCTTTTAGCCGCTTATCTTTGCTTTGGTTTTAACTGTTTTAAGTTTATAGTACTCAAAATGTCAGCAAGCCAATCAGTTCTCGTTTCAACTTGGTCGTATCAAACTGGTGACAATGAGCAGGTTACAATCTAACACAACCAAACGTCAGTCACTTAAGTTGTGAAAATGTCTAAAAGCCCCGGGAAAATTTCAATAGATGGACTTTGAGTTCAATGTTTTTTCCACACGATGCCATTTTAGGTTCATTCTACGGAGTACAACTACGAACGACAAGAAGTGGGCGTTTAAATGACACGACTCTTCAAAAGTATTTTATACACCAAATAAAACATTTCAGGGTTTATTAGAACACATAAGAAGATACCTTGAAGCTTACAATAAAGCAGGGAACAACCAAAAGTGTGTCACTATGATATTAACCACAATAAAGTCACCACAACAAACTAGTAGTACTGGCTGCCAAAGTCATTTATTAGCTAAAGGCCTCACATTATTTAACAGAATACATTATGTCTGCCACCTTTCCTCTCAGAATTCAAACTTAAGTTCATCTTATGATGGCAAGGGATACTTAAAGCCATCTAGGTTAAACCTTTAAATAACATAAAATAACACTAATGCATTACTGTAAGATGTGTTGACACGTGTTGAGGATGACTCTCAGCTACTACCACTTCAAACTTAGTTTCAATGGGTGTAAATGTGACTAGGTTAAAGCCATAAGAGTGCTGGCTAAGGTGGATTAGCTGTGGCCAACTAACTAAACAATAATCAGTTGTAGATGTACAGACAGCAGTGACTCCAACATTTAGTATTAAACAGGTTCGTTAGCGCAAAAAGTACGAGTTGGGGGGCTAAATGTCAGCTTTTACCACGGCAAAACACATCTGTCAAATTATCAGGGTTTAAAGGCATTTTTGTCATTGCTAAGATTATAGATCAATCCTTACTTATTGACAGTTTTATAAAAATCCGTTGAGCGGTTCGTGAGTTATTATGGTATCAGACAAAGGCACACGCTGACACGGGCGATAATTAACGCATTATACGAACTTTATAACTCTTAAAAACTATCGCGTTATCCTGAGTCACTCCAGAACGCATGCTGCTTCGCCATATTTAAGCGCCGCACGTTGGAGAAGCTTGTTTACTCGTACAGCGTACACCGAGCAGGCGGGGATGACATGAACTCGTAATATAGAAGAACAGAACCTCTCGTTCAGGATAACGCTGTTGACAAAAGGAAGACGACTCAAGAAATGCCGCGCAACCGTTTCTGGTCTATGCGGCAGATATTATCGTCATTTAGAAAGAGCAACATCTTTCATGCTTACAGGGAAAACATCAATAAGTTATTTTCAGATATAAACTCCAGTTTTGGTTTTTCAACTAGGACACAAATTGTTGCTAATGTGTTTGTTTATAAGCTAGAAACCCCCCACACCGCTTTCAAAGTAAGAGCAGTCAACTTAACGGAGAAACGCACGTATTAAACATGTGAAAGGTGATGGTCTTCAACAGCATTATATACTTTATTTGAGCATACAGGACTACTTCTCATGAGTTGTTCATTTCGAGCTGCACTGAAATGTGCGGCACATTGCACGAAAATTCTCTTACTTTGGTGACTTTGACCGGAAGTTAGCCGTAGCTAAGTTTCCAAGCTAGCCAACAGTCTCTTTTGTCAACAGCGGATTAACTTACCGCAATAATCTTCAGCGACAGTTTCTCTTTAAACGTGTCGTCCACGACCAAGATATATTTAACTAGAGAAAATCTAATTCCCCAAATGTTGATATATTGTGCTAACAGTGGCCCCTTACGCTACACATCCATCGAACCTCACATTGGCTCCACACGTGCAAGAAGCAAGCCACCTCCGACCGTCACCTCCTCCGCTGCTGTTATGGTCCACGCGCTCTGGACGTCACTCACAGCGCGCGTGCAACAAAGAGTAAACTCAAGCGAGAGCGACACCTGCCCCCTCTTTCCTCTTTTGCGTTGACTGAATGTTTTAGTTTTATCGATGAGTTTGTCAAAGCACAATTTGCAGAAGTAATGTTTAA